GCCTCCCAAGTAGCTGGGACCACAGGCGCCCCCCGCAGCGCCCGGCTATTTTTTTTGGTTGCAGCCATCATTGTTGTTTGGCAGGTCCAGGCTGGATTCGAACCCGCCACCTTAGGTATACGTGGCTGGCGCCTTGGCCGGTTGAGCTACAGGCGCCGAGCCAGCTTTGTGAATTCTTAGATCTCATAGCAACCTAGTGTTTTGTTTCATGTCTTCTCTGTACCTCATTTTTCTGGAATTTTTAAAATGGTTTATGCATAATATCATTACACTTATAAAAAAATTAGTGTGTATCTCTAAAAGATAAGAATTTAAAAATCACATTACCATTATTGCTTCAACAAAATAAATAATAATGTCTTAATATCATCTAATACCCAGTCTGTTTTTATGTTTACCCAGTTATCTCAAAAATGCTTTTGTATAATTAGTTTTTATATCAGGATCCAACACCTACATGATATAGTGTACATTTTTAAGGCCAAGTTTTAAAATTTTTTTTTGTTTTTGAGACAGTCTCATTATGTTGCCCTCAGTAGAGTCCTGTGTCGTCACAGCTCACAGCAACTTCAAACTCTTGAGCTTAAGTGATTCTCTTGCCTCAGACTCCTGCGTAGCTGGGACTATAGGCACCTGCTACAAAACCTGGCTGTTTTTTTGTTGCAGTTGTCATTATTGTTTAGCAGGCCTGGGCCAGGCTTGAACCTGACAGCCTCAGTGTATGTGGCTGGTGCCCTACCCTCTGAGCTGTGGGAGCCATCCAGTTTTCTAAGTCTAAAAAGTTTAGAAGAAATTAGTATGGAAAAGAAGGGTGGTTTTAACTACATAAACATTTTAAAATTCTACATATCCAAGAAGAAGTAGCCCAAGTAAATGAGAATTATTTATGACCTTTTAACAAAGTTACAAGTAACAAATGGTATTTATACCTTTTATCTTTTGTGGAAAAGAAAGAAACCCAATAGGGCGGTGCCTGTGGCTCAGTGAGTAGGGTGCTGGACCCATATATGGAGGGTGGCAGGTTCAAATCTGGTCCCGGCCAAACTGCAACAAGAAAAAAGTAGCCAGGCATTGTGTTGGGTGCCAGTAGTCCCAGCTACTCAGGAGGCTGAAGCAAGAGAATCACCTAAGCCCAAGAGCTGGAGGTTGCTGTGAGCTGTGACACCACGACATTCTACCAGGGGCAACAAAGTGAGACTCTGTCTCTGAAAAAAAAAAGAAAAAGAAAAACCAACAAAATTAAAATTAAATCTACAACAGAAAGCCATTTTTTTTTTTTTTTTTTTGAGACAGAGCCTCAAGCTCTCCCCCTGGGTAGAGT